TCTAGGGAACATCCACCGGGTCGACCCATCATTAGTAGGATTGACTCCTTGACGTCCAGACTTTCCCAGTTCATAGACCATTTCCTGCAGAAATATGCCCAATCGAGCTGGATTCTATAGAATGGCATGACAATTATATCTGGGCGTCATTGGACGTCAGTTCCCTATACACGGTCATAGACCACAATTTGGGCCTGCAAGTGGTCAAAGACAACTTAGAGGGAGATAAATCTTTGGATCCTGGGTTCACTGCATTTCTATTGGAATCTATCCAATTCATCCTTACGCATAATTTTTTTGAGTTCAATGAAGAATTCTTCCTGCAGATCAAGGGTACAGCTATGGGCACCAGGTTTGCCCATAGTTATGCCAACACATTTATGGATTGCACACGTCTGTGCTATACAGAAAATATGTGTTGATCATGTGATATAAGTAGGGGAGGGATGGGGGTATGAGACCTGAATATAAGATAGGAAAAACTGCCTAAAGTATAGAGAGCCTAAATATAAGATTAAAGCAGACTAAATAAATAAATAGATTGTAGCTTATTCATCAGAGGTTGGTTTTAGTGTTAGGTAAACTGTATACACTCCCAACGTTAGGCTGAGGGAGCCCCTGAGGTGTCACATACAGAGAAAATATGTATATTTTAGATTCCACTGAAAAAGCACGATGTGCTATGAAGAGGCACCTACAGCTCGTCTCCTTAACAAAAATAACAAGTATGGAAGGAGGAAGAAAAAGAAACAAATTGTACAAAACAAGATAAAAAGTATATCAGGTAAACGGACTAAATAGCCCTCCCGTGCCTTCAAGGGCACCTACATCCAACCCCCCTCATAGATAAAGAGAATAAAGTGCAATAGAAGAGTGTGTAGAATTGATATTGCTAATAGCGTGGTAAATCCCTTGACGCGCGCGTTTCACCCGACCAGGCTCGTAAGAAGGGAACCGGTCGGTGTGGAACACTCGGTTTAAAAAAGAGCCAGTGGCTCGTGATTGGTCAAGTCAAATGTTTCTGATTGGTGGATATCTCAACATCATGGGCCATAGAACCACCCAGTTTATGACGTCAGGGGAAGACTGGTTGATTAACCATTTCTGGTCCCAGACAAAGAGCACACTAATGTCGGAAGATGTTATTAATATCTCGGCTAAAAAACGAGGATGATAATAATAAAAAGAGGACAAAAGAAGATATTTAAACAATGTAGTCCAATTCTTTTAGTGTAAATAATATATGCCCATTAATACCACATTAAGTGGTAAGAATATATCTGTATAGGAAATGTATAATTAACACTATTTATATCATGGTCAGAAGGACCAAAGGTAATAAAGGCTAGACCTTATAAATGTAAATTATACAAGAGGATTATATGGATGCACGTAAAACTAAAGAATAAATATAAACAAAAAATCGCCTAGAAGTGTGCTCAATTATAGAGCAGTAGAAGATCGACATACAGGGAGTGCAGAATTATTAGGCAAATGAGTATTTTGACCACATCATCCTCTTTATGCATGTTGTCTTACTCCAAGCTGTATAGGCTCGAAAGCCTACTACCAATTAAGCATATTAGGTGATGTGCATCTCTGTAATGAGAAGGGGTGTGGTCTAATGACATCAACACCCTATATCAGGTGTGCATAATTATTAGGCAACTTCCTTTCCTTTGGCAAAATGGGTCAAAAGAAGGACTTGACAGGCTCAGAAAAGTCAAAAATAGTGAGATATCTTGCAGAGGGATGCAGCACTCTTAAAATTGCAAAGCTTCTGAAGCGTGATCATCGAACAATCAAGCGTTTCATTCAAAATAGTCAACAGGGTCGCAAGAAGCGTGTGGAAAAACCAAGGCGCAAAATAACTGCCCATGAACTGAGAAAAGTCAAGCGTGCAGCTGCCACGATGCCACTTGCCACCAGTTTGGCCATATTTCAGAGCTGCAACATCACTGGAGTGCCCAAAAGCACAAGGTGTGCAATACTCAGAGACATGGCCAAGGTAAGAAAGGCTGAAAGACGACCACCACTGAACAAGACACACAAGCTGAAACGTCAAGACTGGGCCAAGAAATATCTCAAGACTGATTTTTCTAAGGTTTTATGGACTGATGAAATGAGAGTGAGTCTTGATGGGCCAGATGGATGGGCCCGTGGCTGGATTGGTAAAGGGCAGAGAGCTCCAGTCCGACTCAGACGCCAGCAAGGTGGAGGTGGAGTACTGGTTTGGGCTGGTATCATCAAAGATGAGCTTGTGGGGCCTTTTCGGGTTGAGGATGGAGTCAAGCTCAACTCCCAGTCCTACTGCCAGTTCCTGGAAGACACCTTCTTCAAGCAGTGGTACAGGAAGAAGTCTGCATCCTTCAAGAAAAACATGATTTTCATGCAGGACAATGCTCCATCACACGCGTCCAAGTACTCCACAGCGTGGCTGGCAAGAAAGGGTATAAAAGAAGAAAATCTAATGACATGGCCTCCTTGTTCACCTGATCTGAACCCCATTGAGAACCTGTGGTCCATCATCAAATGTGAGATTTACAAGGAGGGAAAACAGTACACCTCTCTGAACAGTGTCTGGGAGGCTGTGGTTGCTGCTGCACGCAATGTTGATGGTGAACAGATCAAAACACTGACAGAATCCATGGATGGCAGGCTTTTGAGTGTCCTTGCAAAGAAAGGTGGCTATATTGGTCACTGATTTGTTTTTGTTTTGTTTTTGAATGTCAGAAATGTATATTTGTGAATGTTGAGATGTTATATTGGTTTCACTGGTAATAATAAATAATTGAAATGGGTATATATTTGTTTTTTGTTAAGTTGCCTAATAATTATGCACAGTAATAGTCACCTGCACACACAGATATCCCCCTAACATAGCTATAACTAAAAACAAACTAAAAACTACTTCCAAAAATATTCTGCTTTGATATTAATGAGTTTTTTGGGTTCATTGAGAACATGGTTGTTCAATAATAAAATTAATCCTCAAAAATACAACTTGCCTAATAATTCTGCACTCCCTGTATATATACTAAAGTATCTAAAATAAGACTGTGTATTGTCGTTGGATACAAAATAACTAGATAGAAAAGATGTGTATGGTTACTTGATAACAGAGTGTATCTATAAAGGTACACAGAGGCAAATCAAACTGAATAGATGCCGTGCAAAAGAACACCAGAAATTTTTAACGGAATCTGTAATTATACACAGAGTCACTTGATAAAGAAACCTAATCTTATTGTGGAATATGGTAGTAATAGCTTCTTGAATGCACCCAAAATGATTAGGAACATAAGAGGGTCCCCTATAAGTGTGACTGCTTAAAGTTATATAAGAGTCTGGATATATATAATCTGAAGTAATACAATAGTAGGGAGAAGTAGGGAACACATCTTGTTGTACCATATGTAGCTCGCTGAAAAGGGTAAGTGTATGTGTGCTCCGCAAATTATATCGGAGAGCCTGTCTAGAAATGCCTAACTTAAGTATAGATCCAGAGGGATTCCTATGGTTGCCAAAGTGTGGCTGGATAAAGTAAGATAAGGAATCAAAAAATATATGTGTAAAACCTAAAAGAGCTTCAGTAATAGAGGAGAATAAAAAACACATCTTATTGCATCATATATAAGTCACCAAAGAGGTAAGTGTGTGTGCTAAGCAAATTATATCGGAAAACTTATTTAGAGATATCTGACTAAGGTGTAGATCAAGGTGGATAACCTATCGTTCCCAGAGGAAAACTGAAGCCCAGTAGTTGTTACTGCCGTTGGTGTAAGCCATGTTGGATCCTGAGTAATGGGTTCAATATGACTGTGGACCAAAAGGTCCCGAAGATTTCTTGCTCTGCGTGCAGTGATAGTTGGAAAATTGCTGATTTTATCCTTTAGGTCTTTATCATACTGTAATATTGGCCAGTTCTGTGACATAATTTGTAGGACAGGTTCCCAATATTAGTCATAGGTGCCAATGCAGCGGATGTATTCAGAGTCAGTTTTTGATCTCTGACTGCGAAGACTGTCGCTCCTATTAATTGCAGATGCCTGTTGGTATGCCCTTTTAAAGATCTTGTTAGGGTAACCTTTTTGTTTAAACATCATACGTAATTTTTTTGCTTCCTGATTGAAAGTGTCATCATTGGAGCAATTGCGTCTAGCTCGTAAATACTGTCCATATGGGATGCCCGATTTCAGTTTGATTGGATGGTGGCTAGTCCAGTTTAACAGACTGTTGGTTGCAGTACTCTTGCGATATAATTCTGTTTCGATAGTTCCATCAAGTTGGATTTTGATTTTAAGATCTAGAAACACAAGTTGTTCATCATCAAGAACATGTGTCAATTCAAGACCAATATTGTTGACATTAAGTAAATTGACCATTTCTTCAAATTGGGAGACTGAGCCTAACCAAAAGACCACAATATCGTCGATGTATCTATGCCAATTATAAATGTAAGACTGAAATGTGTCTTCAATGGTGAGTGCCAAAATTGTTTCCTCCCACCAGCCCAGGTACAGGTTGGCATAGCTAGGTGCACACGCCGTGCCCATGGCATTGCCCCTGAGCTGGAGGTAATATGTCCCATTAAACACAAAAAAGTTATGTGTCAGGACATATTCTAAAAGTTGGATGATGAACTCACTTTGTGATGGAGTGAATTTATCGCATTTCTGCAGAAAATAGTTTGTGGCTATAAGGCCTTTATCATGAGGTATATTGTTGTACAATGCAACCACATCAAGGCTTCCCAAAAGGCAGTAAGGTGGTACTGTTAGGTTCTCTAATAGGATTAGTGTTTGCTTAGTGTCTTGAAGGTATGATTTCAAGTTGATTACAAGTGGATGTAATAGTTTCTCAAGGAACTGGCTGCTTCTTTCAGTGATAGAGCCATTGCCAGACACTATTGGTCTTCCAGGTGTATTGTTCATGTTTTTGTGTATCTTAGGGAGACAATATAGGGTGGCAATGGTTGGAGTGAGATGCGGTAGTATAAATTAATGCTCGTCACTGGTTATAATATAGTTTTCTAGTGCAGCATCCAAAATGTGTTTAAGCTCACTAAGGTAGAGTGTAGTGGGATCCATGGTTAATTTTCTGTATGCTGATGTGTCTTTTAGATGTTCCATACACATATCAATATAGTGATCTCTGTCCATTATGACCACGTTGCCACCTTTATCAGAAGGTTTTATAATGATATTTCGGTCCGTATTTAGTTCTTTTAATGCTTTGCGTTGTTGTGCAGTAAGATTGTCATGTAGAACTTCAGAAGTGGTAAGAGATTCGATTGCAGAAGTGGTCATTTGAATGAACAGATCTACACTGGATACCTTGCTTAGGTTGGGGGTAAACCAACTTTCAGGTTTCAAATCTGTTAATTTGAAATCAGGATTTTGTTCGTCTAATAGGAAAACGAGCATTTGGTGAGTTTGAAAATCTTCATAAGACATACCTATTTCTTTGGCTGTTTTTTGGTCCCTTCTTTTATGTATCACATTAAGGGCTAATTTGCGGCCAAAAAGGTTCGTATCTTTAACCCAGTTGAATTTATTGGTATTAGGAGTTGGTACAAATGATAGACCTTTATTGAGCAATGAGGTATGATGTTCATTTAAATTGAATTTGGATAAATTGATGATTTGATTTTGATTATCACAGGTTAATATTGGTTCCTTCTCCTGTCCGTTTTGTACCCCCATTTTTTTCGATCCCTTAATTTCTCGCTCTGTGGGAGGGGCCAATCTTCCTCTAAAAAAGGAAGTTCTCCTGTTGAGGTGGAAGCTTGATTTATTTCAGGAGGTAAAGTTTCAGGGAAAGTTATGCTTTTAGTTTTAAGAATAATCCTACCCCTTCTGGCATTCGATTGAGTTCTATGATTCTTCCCTTGCCTAGAATTATTAGAATCAGAATCAGACCAATCAGTACCAGAGGTGGAGTAGTTCCTAGTGTTACTGATTTGTCTCACTCTCTTTTTAGTGCGGAATATGTTGCCCTCCTTGAAGTCTTTATAGTCCCTTAGGTATTTATCAAACTCAGAACACTTCAGCCATTAGGACTGAATGTGGATTTTGATTTGGTTTGTTTTTTATAGTTTCAGAGGTGATCTTATTTTTTATTATTCTTATTTTTTTCATCATATGTTTATCTTTTTTATTATATTTATTTTTTATCTCATTCATTTTTATTTTCATTTTATTTTTATCTTTATATTGATTTTCATATTTATTTTTATTATTTTTAGTATTTATATTTACATTTTTTATATTATTTTTATTTATTTTTTATATTTATTATTATTTTCTTTTTTCTTTTATTACCTTTATGTTTTTTTAGTTTTCAATGTAAACATAGTATTTTTAGCTTGGATATTTACTTATATATATACTTTTTCTTTTCCCTTAATTATGATCATTTTATTTTTTGTTTTTATTGTGTAACCAACTCTCAGAAATCTCATCAATTAAGGATGCTTCTGTTATTGCAGTTTGATGTGGTGTATTAATAAAGTTATTCACTCACGAGAGAAAACTTATAGCCCTTTGTACATATTGCATGTTTTATTCATTATCATGCCATATAGACACATGTGAATTTTATTTTTCATCAATGTATAAAATAATAATTGCGAATGTATTTGGAGGTGTCTCCCTGATTCACTCTTTCTTTATATATGCATGTCCGCTTCTTCCAGAGAGCCCCTCCGTGCAGACCGATACGCTGGAACGCAGGCATTAGTTCCAGACGCCATGATGTCATGATTCATGTCGGCGAGACGTACCAGAACTTCTGAGTTATTGGAACGCATATGCGTTCCATGGAGATTTACCGGCTCTCCATATATGGATTGCATCAGCGGACGAATTTGAAACAGATGAAGAACCAAGAAACGATTGGTTGTTATCAAGAAGAGGGACATTTAAAAGCGTTTTTTCTATGTTGTTAGGTTATAGCATTTTGTTCATGCACATGAAAGCATTTTATTTTAACTCCTGAGGAAGTCCAGTTTAACTGGACAAAACGCGTTGAGTTAGTTTTTATTTTATTGTGTTTTGCTGCTGTTTATGTTTGTTTTGTTCCTGGTTCCTGACTATCCCAGACAATTGTGTTTCCACACTCTGGACAAGGGACTAAGGAATTGACTGATGAGCTTGCTTTGAATTTCTATATTGTAAGTGTAACCATTAAAGTGTATTTTTAATTTTAAATCATATGGCACTATAGTTTTTCACTTTCTTTCCACATGACTGGCTTAAATTGCCAAATACTATACTGGAGTCTGGTGAGAGTGACATTTTTGTGACGAGCCTGAACTCTTGGTCATTTTGTGAGTGCAACTTTTAACCGTGGGGGCTCATTGTATACATGTTGTTACCCTATGAGTGTTTTCTCCATTGTGTATTTTTAGGTATATTTAGATTTTTTTCCTACTTTATACAAGGATTGAGAGGAATCCTTGGTTTATACCATAAAAAGAAAAAGAGATAAGTTCATTTTCTTATTTACTATAAATTTCTGCACCTGGGTGATCTACACAACCAAGGGTCTATATTAGGACGTGCCAATACTTCTTTATAGCTCTATTAATTTTGTTATTATTGCCGTTAAAATTGCATATAAAAGGGACTTCCTTAGTGTGTCTTTGTTGTGTATTTTTTGGTTTATAGGTTAATAATTTCTTTCTTGATGTATTTCTGACCTCCTCTATAGCCGCAATTAATTTCGTCTTTTCATATCCTTTTTCTTGAAACTGCTCTTTTATTCTTCTTGCTTGTAGCATATAATCGCCGTTGTTAGTGCAATTTCACCTTATCCTCAGAAATAGCCCTTTGGGTGCATTGCTGAGCCACGGTTTGTGGTGACAGCTATTTTTCTCAATATACCCGTTCGCGTCTACAGCTTTAAAAAAAAAAAATTGTTTTGATTTGTTCATTCTGTATAAAAATATGAAGATGTAAAAATGGGATATCTGTGTGACTGTGAGTGGTTGTAAGGATAATTCCCCAGTCACTGTCATTCAAAAAAAAAAAAAAATTGTGGACCATTGTCTGGAATCAATGTTTTAGGTCATCCAAATCTTGCAAACAAGCTGGAAAGTACCAACATGGTTTTGTCACAAATGTACCGCTCCGAACTGCAGCTCCTTAATAAAATTATTCCCATGACATCACGCCCCTAAAGGGACTGCATCATTTAGGCGACCCCATGTTGTTTGGGGTCACAGAGATGAAGTGAACCAATGGGAACTCTTCTGGACCTTTTTAGGGCCTGTTCTAGCCTTTACTCATTGCTATATATAATTCTCTCTTGTAGTTTCCCATTATTGACCTTGGCTCATATTTGACTTGTGATTTCTGGTATCCTGACCTCGGTTTTGTATTTTGACTTGTGATTTCTGGTATCCTGACCCAGCTTTGTATATACTCTGTGTATTTCTGTATTCCTGACCTTGGCTTACGCTGACCTTGTTTCTTGCTGTTTTAATGTCTGTCAATTCTAAGGCACAGTAATATGTCTCTCAGATCCACCTTTTGTGGGTTTTCACTTTCCTGTGTGTTGGGGTAAGACAGGTTTGTCCTGATGTAGTACTTGATATTCAAATCACTTTTGGACACGTAGAATGAGCATCATTCATCAAAAATAAATTCATCAGCAACTTAATACATTCGTCCATCCAAAATTTATGTGGATTCTTGTCCAAGGTTCAGTTGGCCATGGACAAGTCTTGGAGAAATCCCTTGTCGGACTCTGCTGAGTAGTTGTAAGCTGCAAGAAGAAGTGCATAATGCTGAAGTTGAGCTACTGTTGTGATCCCTGATAAACGTAAAAGGTGTACCATAAATATAAATGTGAAATTTCTGCATGGCCCAAATTATTGCTTCCCGATTAATCTGTGCATATTTTTTATTTTCTCGCGGTAGAGATCTGGATACAAAAGACACTGGATGTTCAGAATCATAAGGCATAATGTGTGAAAGCACTGGGCACAAGCCATATAGTGAAGCATCACAGGCTAGTATCAAAGGCTAGTATCAAAGTGATCAATGTGAAGTCCAGAAGAAGTTGTTTGGAGCATTCAATTGCCTTTTGCACACAACTCATTCCAGGTCCACTGGATGGTGTAGTGGATATAGTAACATAAAAAAATCCAGCACACTCACTCATTCACTAAACAGCTATTTCAAAGTTCACTGAATGTAATAGTTTTTTTTTTTTTTTTACCTTCTTTATTTTAATGTGCCAGATAGAACATACAATGTATTTCTGACATTTCAGACAGGAGATGTGCATCAAGATTGAGCAGGTAAGGCATGTCAGAAAGTGTCGAGGAGACTGCTCATTTTTTATTTATATACGAGTCGTGCGGAAAGTAAAAGTCAGGGCATAAACACAAAAAAGTAGCCAAACCAGTTAACTGACTTCAATTGAGAAACTGCACATTAAGTAAAATAAAATAAGCTAAATTATGTAGTTCTGTAGAATTAAAATATGTAAATACTGGGTTGATAAGCAAAATTACGACATATGAGAGAATGCAGTATTAAAACCAAGCAACTTAAACATGTCATGTCAGCCATCATAGAAAAGCCTTCCAAGTAACACAATCCGCCAGATGGCCCACCATGATCAGTTCCAGAACAGGGATCATGTCTGCAACCAGAGCTCATGTCTGCAATGTTGTGCAACCCAATATTGACCTAGGTGCACAAAATTTGGAGCTCTGGTTCATGCCAGTCACGCTGGGAGTGAAGGGACTTGTTCCTCTGCAGGCTAGGTAAGCGGTAGTGGGCAGACAAGTGCATCCGGCGAGGTATAGCTATTCGCCACGGCTTCTTGCGTTGTCATTTGTACTGCTTTGTTCTGGGAACACATTATGGAGGTATATGGATGCGGTGGCAATCAGCAGGATGGCTTTGTGGTAACCCTGGTTCATCAGCTGGAGTATAGGTAAGGCCCCTGCCATAAAGCTTTGCCAAAGATCACAGATGCAGTAAAATGCCAGGAGTATAGGTATACTCATGGCAACAGAGCCTGGTGAAGTTGACATTTTGGATTATATACCTCGACTGTCCAACTTGCAGGAAAGTGGCAGAACAAAGCACATGCGGGGACCGGGATATCCCCAACCGAACTAAGGAGGGAGGGGAGGGGGGAGTGGGGCAGGGCTCAGAGCGTTCTCAAAACTGCCAGTCACATGCAGAAAAGAGCCAAAAGAGTGTTTCCCATGGTTTAGATAAAATTGTTGCCCAGAAAAAGGAACTATAAAGTCCAATTTAGGCTCAGTATGAGGATTTCCCTGTGGAGCTCCAGCACACTGCATCCATCTTGGTCAGCTGTCAGGCTACGTCCCCTTTATTTTTTTCAAACACCTAACATAAGCAAAAATAATGAGGGTAAAACCAGAAAAAAGAGTCACTAATAGAGGTGTAACAAATACAAAAGAAATTATGAGGGGTTAGTTACATGATAAGATTGCATAAGCCTGTCACACCACCTATGTACACCATTTTGGCAGGTCCTATTAAAGGCTACTGTACCAATAATTATGTCATTGCATTGTCACGCAGGGAAGACAGAGGGATGCTCCACTATTTAAAGGAATTTGTTTTCTTTGTACACCAGTTCTATCGAAGGGACATTGTTTCCCAAGCGCGCAGCCCAGCATCTGCCTGTCATGTTCGAGTCCAGATCACATACAGCG